TTTATTCATGGCTTATGTTAATCAATTCACATTATTGTACAGTAAGTGCCAGCATATTGATTTCAGAAACCTTTTGCAGCCTGTACAAGTAGGCTTCTTTTGTACTGTAGGTAGTGTCTGAAAGCAGGATCTGCTCTAGTTCAAGGGGTTTTTTTTGCATGCTGCTTTTTCTCTAGATCTCTCCTGCCCCTGTCTGAGTGAGTGAGGCAATATTTTCATGTCACATATATACCTGCACTTGTAAGGGTTTTGGTTGTTGTAGAGAAACACAATACTTTATACATTTTGTAAAACTTCCGCAGATCCATAGTATCTGGAACTTTCTCTTCATGATATTTCACTATTGACCTCTACTAAAAATGCAAAATATTAGGATTTCACATAATAACTACTAACCTGTTGTTTTCTTCTTACTGTTTTACTGAACTGCAGACTGTAATTCTTAAATGATTGTACTTCACTGATGTAACAGATTTGTCATCAGCAGGGCTAACTACTCTAATTCTTTGTTGTGCTGAATGGGAAGAATGTTACCACAACTTTGTGTAGTCAGTCTCTTGCTTGCTTGTGCAAATCTCTGATGGCTTTTCATCACTCACTAGCTCTTGCATACTTGTATCCCCTCCGGTATCTGCTGAATGTTCAGATGGCAAATACTGGGTGAAATGATCTAAAGGAAGAGCTGGAGACCATCTGCTGCTCTCCAAAGGCTTGTGGAGCCATTTGCAGTGAGTTTTTGCTCTGTATTCTGAGCCTGTACCTCACTGGATGAATCCCAGCTGCATATTAGTGAGTTGATTTTTCTTCACTGATACACAAAGCAAATATGAAACTGTGAATTGTGCTTGAAGAGGAAGTCTGACATTCCAGTCTCAACTGTTCTGTCTGGTTATGTAATAAAATTAAGGGCAGTTAACTCTGATGGCTTTTCTTTTATAAGATTTTCAGACCAATGCCTTTAATTTTGTACTGTATGCGCTGAGAGGGCTCCAGCTCCCAGCGCAGGATGCGCGTGGTGCCTGGCACTTTCACTCTTCATCTTTGTTTAGAGGTTACATTCAAGGTGAAAGGGTGCATGCTTGCAGCCTGATCCCATTGAATCAGGCTATGAACCCCTCAGTAGGCATCACAGGGCTCTGTCCTTAGGGTGTTCCACTGCAGGAAACACTTTCAACACTTGGTATTTGCTTCACTAGCATTCTGTTGAGAGAAGGTAGGAACTGGGATGTTTCCTTTTTGGTGGTCCAAGACCAGAACATAATGTGCAGTCAGTGTTCAGACAGCTGGCAATGAGAGAATGGAAAATTCTGAAGTATTAAAAATGCTTCATTTGAAAACAAGTGGACACAAGTGGAGCTGGGCTCCTTAATTTTTGAACAAATATTATATAAAGAAATCAGTTGGATAGCATGTACCTGTTAAGACTAATTAATTCAGGGTGATGTATTAACATGCTTACTCTGCAAGTCCTGCTCTTAACACAAAGTTTCTAGAATCAGTCTGGCCTGGTGTAAGAAGCCAAGAAACAGTTTAGTCACTTGCTTGTCTCTTCAAAGATTGTCTTTAGTCTTTGACTTTGTGGAAGGCTCGAAACTTCGCTGCAGAGTCCTAATGAGAGGTCAGTGTCTAGGGCTTAAGTGCAGTTAAATTTATGGGTATTGAAGAGCTCTTGAACAAGTGCATTGTCCAAAGCCCCTCAGCACTGGTGGACCTTGGACCATTCTATAGTGTTGTGTGACAGGGAAGGGCTCCTGCCCTTTGCTGGGGCACGCAGGGGGAGTTGGTGTGTGCATATGCGCACCCATGTAGCTCCTGAGAGCACTGGGAACGGGGTGGGGGTTTTCATCTGCTGTGGTCCCTCAGTATGACACAAGGTTCTTTTCCAGGCTGCTGTGCTGCTCTCCAGGCAAAGATACAGCCCTTCTGTGGGTCTGAGGTGCTAGACTAAGCACGGGGCTGTTTGTGACAGTAGAAAAAGGACAGTGGATCAGTTCTGCCAGGTTAGGCCACCTTCCTCTATGCAGACTGGGGAAAAGGCTTGTGATCTGGGATTCCTGGTGTTCTGATGAAACATTGTGCACTCCTTAGAAACTGCAGCCACAACCCAACCCACTACTGTGCTGGAATTACTTAGGGGAAGACTTGGAGGAATCCTGAGGAAGCTGGAAATGCTGAAGAGCTGTCTGACATTCAGAAAAGCTCTCCAGTAACCCAGACTCCTTAAGCCTGCTTTCCTGATGTGGAAGTTACAGACTGCATGTAACCTCAACTTGACTGCTTCATCCCATGGCTTTGCTGGCTGTGTGTCTCTCAGTTTTACTGTCAGAAAAAAAAAAAAAAGGTTACAGCTCTCTTCCATCTTCACCAAGGGTTTTGAGGGCTAAGTTTGGCTTTTGTAAACTTCTGATAACAGGAAAGCTGCCTGTGGAAAGAACAAATGTGTGCTTTGCTTGCTTTACTTGGATGTTGAGGCTGACTTTCCTTTAACTGTTGAAAACACTACAAAGCCCTGATTACTGTTACCTGTGTCAGTAACGCAACCATCAGAACCTCCTGCTGATGTCTTGAACAGCTCCTTTAATGCAGAATTAGGTAGGAGTCTGTTGTGCTGCCTCTCCTCTTACTGATGGGAAGGATGTTGGCCAAAATGCATACATAAAAGTGACTTGGTCCTGAGCACACAAACAGCGAATTGGTAAAATAAATTTATTGGACAGATCAGATCCGTCCAGTCTCTTTTCCTGAAGAGTCAGTGCTTACAGGCAGGGGAGTTAGTCTGGGGTTTTCACTGAAGCCTGCACAGAATAAGGAGTTTTGGTTCCTAGGAAAGTTTTAAAGCTCCATATCTGTATAAATGTAAAAATCCAGTTGATGGGTTACTGCTTGCTGCTTGGTTAAAAATATTTCATTGTGTGTTATGGAGGCCATCTCTGTGGGGCCAGAGATGCCCCCATTTGGGTGCTGTTCTGTGACTCCCTGGTGACCTCTTGTGTGAACACAGAGCTTTTGGCTGGGCGTGGTAAGGTTTGGGCTGAGCTTGTATTTGAATCAGTTACTTAACAAAAACTGTTGGAAAGTTGTACAGGAGATATTTTAGCTCCTGATATTTGATCCCTGCATGCTGTACTGCTCCAGAAGGTGGGAGTGGGATCTGTTTCTGGTTGAGTCTTACCAAGGCTTGGTGATCATTCCCCTTCCAAGCAGAAGGAAGAACTCGCTTAGAAGTTCTGGACTCCGTAGAAGAAAAGAAGATCCCAATGAAGCAGCTTGGTCACTTAGGGAAGATTTTTTTCCTCCATAAAAAACTAGAATAGTGTTAAAGGTAGGAGCCTGAATTTCGGCTATGGAAAATCAGACAATTGGAGGTTAAGACTAACTGGCCTTCAAGTAAAGCACAGTAAGTGGGGGCTGAAGGGTAGATTCTCTTGACTTGCAGACTCTTAAATCTAGTTGGTGATTCATGGAATGTTTCCATGCAATGAGTATCTCCAGGGCTGCACTGTTTCAATAAGTAACAGCATTTCCTATTTTACACTGGTCAGATAATGCATGGTAGTGTTGACTATCAGGCTTTGTAGGCTATAAATAGTAGTGGGCCTTTATGCAACCCAGAAGAGAGGTTCCTTTAATTTACTTTTATTCCTGGTTCCTGTGTTAAGTGCAATTCAAATTGTAAATAACCCATCACTCTATTTTTGTGCATGGTTATGATGTATTGTGGATATAAAGATTGCCAAATCATACCGTCTGTGTAAGGTTCTGTTCCAGACTCAACTGTAGAATAAGGTGGGAGGGCTCCCGAGCCAGAGCACGGGGTGGGGCGGGGATGCGTGTCCCTGCCAGCGCCTCCGGGAGCAGCAGGACAGGGCACCCGCTGCGCCCGGGGCTTTTGCACTGCCACCGGGTGCGGCGCCGGGGGGTATCCCGGTGTCCCGGTATCCCGGTGTCCCGGTATCCCCGTGTCCCGGTGTCCCCGTGTCCCGGTGTCCCCGTGTCCCGCTGTCCCGATATCCCCGTGTCCCGGTATCCCTGTGTCCCGGTATCCCCGTGTCCCGGTATCCCGGTGTCCCGGTATCCCCGTGTCCCGGTACCCCGGTATCCCCGTGTCCCGGTATCCCAGTATCCCCGTGTCCCGGTGTCCCCGTGTCCCGGTACCCCGGTATCCCCGTGTCCCGGTGTCCC